ATAATTATCCGAAAACATAAAATGCCATTACACAGAGATGCAATAACCAATAAATGTGTTACTTGTGTATTTTTTTGGCCACCAGTCTCACATGGTACTTGGTCAGCTGCTTTCATAAAGGAACATACGTACATTTATAATGCTAAACTGTTTTAACAAATCAGTTTTCTGCCCTCAAGAATACTAAATACATCATTTTAGAAAATATTTGTCTCAGATAGAACAGAGAGAAAATAAAATCTAGGCAGCAATTTGAAGATCTATAATGTTTAGAAGCACAAAAAGAGAGGCACATCTGACAACACCGATGTCAGCTGAAACAATGGAAAAGACAGAAGAAAGAAAGCAGCTCATGGTGAGAAGGACAAACTGTGGAGGTTAAGGAAGAAAACTTTTGTTTGACAAATAAAGTCAAAGCTTGAAGAAATTAGACTAAAGTAATGATATAAAATAAAGGAAATAAAAAACGTTCTTAAACCTTTAATTCACAAATCTGCAAAAGTGCATGATGAGACAAATACTTAACCTAAATGAAATCAATGATTAAAACAACTGAGTCTTAAGCTAACTGCCTTGCATTCAAACAAATGAGAGAGATGAGAGTTTAATGAAGAATTGAGGCATTTGTGTTTGGATTCGCATTTACAAAAGGACAGAAAGACTGTGATAGGGTAAGCATCATGAACATCACTGGGGAGGGAATCATGTTGGAGACTATCAGTCATTTTTTAAGATAATGTAACACTGATTAAGCCTAGTATTTCAATATTTATATGCTTACTGACTAATACTGGATTGGGAATAGGCTTTAGTAATTGTTTATTCTTAAATGATGGATTATAGCAGTGGTTCCCAAAGATTTTCTTCTGGGCCCCCCTTTGGATTACAATAAGATGTCCACGCCCCCCCCCTTCACTCATACCGCTTTCCGCGCCCCCCCTGCAATGGCATTGCGCCCCCCCTAGGGGGCGCGCCCCACACTTTGGGAACCACTGGATTATAGTATGGATAATACTTCTTGTTTGATTATGATAGACATGTTTGATCTGGTCAATTCTCTTAACCTGATTTCATTTGTCTTTATGAACACTTTAAAATTAATTGAAATGCCTAGCTGAAAAAATTTTTTTTTTTCTATTTCTATTAAATTTGTTTCTTTTGGTGTTTTTAAGGTGGTTATTTTAGCTTTAGCCCTACGACTGCTACCTTTTTTTTCTTTTGGTAACACCATACGATAAAAATGTAATACCACATTAAGAGCTACACGTGTTCATGTCCCTCTCACCTCCATGAAGTCTTTCCTCTGGATGGACGAGTGCAGAGCTGCTGGTAAAGACTGACCACACATCTGATCCCAGTTCTGGAGGCAAAAAACAAACTTTTAATATCAGATCACTAATTTATAAGTTTGATCTTTAAAAAGTTTCAAAAGGACAAAAACCTTCTTATCGGTGAGTTTCTTGCCGGGGTTGGTCTCCTCTGGATGGTAGAACCAGTTGACCCGGACCACCATGTTGCTTCCCCAGGACTCCCACATGCTCTGGATGCGCCCAATGAAGGGCAGGTTGGGCCGTCCGGCAGACAGAAACACGGCGCAGTCCCCGATGCGGATCATCTCTCGGCCGCGCATGATGGCCTTGTAGAAGAGCTTCTTGGCCTTCCCCTTCATGCCGCGTCTCTGGAGAACCAAAGTAAAAGGCGACATTTGCGTGAATCCGGCAGGAAGGGTCACCTGGTCAAGTCTGTGAGGTTTCCCCTTCTCACCTGAGTGGGTTTCCCAAACCACTTCCACAGCTGTCTGGCTGGAAGGAAAGCAGAAATCTTGGGCCTGTTCTCCACACTGGGAAGCCGTTGACGTTTAGCCAGCTCCTTGGTGGTGGGGAGGTGGACTCCCTCCCTCCTCTTGGGCCTCCCTGCCTTCCCCTCCCCGCCGCTCGGTTTGGGTTTCGGCGGACGGCCCCTCTGCCCAGAGCCCTTCCCTGTGGCCGGTTTGGCTGGCGTACTGGGAGCAGGAACGGGGGTAACCGGTGGAGTTGATGGGGAGGGGGAGTTTGAGCGGGAGGATGATTGTTCCTCCTCTACTTTCACTTCCACCTCCTTCTTCACCTCCTCTTCCTCCTCTTTCACGTCTTCTTTCAGCTGGTCCTGGGTTGAAGCTTTCTGGGCGGGGCCGGGTGGAGGCGTAGGGGTCCTCTCCTCATCCGAGCTGCAGGATGAGTCGTCAGTAGATGACGACGACGATGAGGAGGATGAAGATGATGATGATGAGGACGAACCGGAGCAGGATGAAGAAGAAGAGGAGCAGCTAGAGGTGCATTTCTTCTTCACCTTTCTGTTTTCACCTTCTTCGTCTGAATCAGAGCTGCTGCTGCTCTGAGATTCCTCTTTCACCTTCCTCTCCTCCCTCTTCTCCAGCTCCTTTCGTTCTTCTTTCTTAGCCTTTTCCCGTCCGTCCGTCTCTTTGCCTCTGACGCCACTTCCCCGACTCTCCAGCTTCTCCTTAGCCAGGATCGGGGTCTTGTAGGCAGACTCCCTCTCTGGCAGACTGGTCGCCCTCTCAGGGGCTCTCATTTTAGCTTTGAGTAGCTTCTGATTCGCTGTGGAAGTGGTAATAGGGGTGTGGTCTCGTCTGATTCCCCGCCCCTCCAGTAACATTAAAGCCTTGGTTTTTTTGGTTTTTGGCGAGGTGACGCCTTCGTGGTCGAGCTTCACGAGCGGCTCTGCAGACAAACACTTCCTCTGTCCAGAGATGGACTTGGGCCTTGGGAGGGGTCTGGAGGACATCTGCTCTGATGGGATCTTCAGCTTGGGTTTGGAGGCAGCTGTGGGTGACAGCGAGGATGACGGCCTGGCGGTGAGGGAAGAGCCTGATTTGCCGCTCGTTACCCTGGAGATGGGGCTGGGCAGCAGTCCGGAGCTGAGGCCAGATCTGGAGCTGCTCTGATGATCTGAGGAGGATTTTATTTTGGATGAGGAGGCAGGTCTGGGTGTGGAGGCAGCGTTGGGTTTGGGTGCAGAGGACGAAACGCTCAACGCAGGCCTGGGCACAGACCTGCTGGTGGGACTGATGGAGCTGCTGCTCTCCCGCTCTCTGCGCTGGCTATTATAAGAGCAAAGGTTGGGCTCACTGTACAGGTCCACAGTCAGAACCTTCCCATAGGTGGAGGGATAGAGGGAGGAGGGGAGGGCTCGGGATGTTTTAGAAACAGGAGACTGGGCAGAGCTGCTCTTCCTTGGCACCGGACTGGGAAGTGTGGGGCTGCTTGAGGAGGAAGTGCCAGAGTTCTTCCGTTCAGATTTCTCCTGCGTCCCAATTGTCGGCCGAGACGCAGGGCGGGGCTTTTCCTGAGCAGGTTTCTGGACAGAGGAGGTCCGGTCCTGGGCAGGTTTAGCTGGAGCTTTAGGTCGCTCAGTGGACTGGGAGGGAGAAGGAAGAAGATCGGCTTTCTCCCGTACTTCCTGATTAACGGATGTCTCTGAGATGCAGGAAAGAAAAAGGAGTTTTTAATCAAATAATCTGTATCTTTTGTGATCAATTAGACATTATTGCACAATTTACTATGCATTTTTTGTTCAGTACAGGTGTCTGATTGTATCAGGATTTTCAAGTACAAAAATGTCACACTGATGATGTAGAGATCTCAAAAACTCATGTATCAAATATGATACAAAAGTGAATCAGAAGCATTTATTATGCTCCACGGCACATTGAGGTCAGATATTTTCATTCACCATAAGGTTATACAAGTTTAAAGGACAAAATTTTACACTACATGTACACACTAAACATCCCACAAAAATTCTCATCCCACAAAAAAAAAAAAAAAAAAAAAAAAAAAAAAAAAAAAAAAAAAAAGGACAAATTTGCACAAAGGACTAAAAAAGTTAAATACTTTAATTAGGATGGTTGGCCTCCGAATGACCTAAAAATTATCTTAAAAATCTCTGAATCAAAAGTATCACAAACATTTGTTTTAACGAAACCACTTTTTTCAAAGTGGGTGGGGCATCAGCTTCACGCTCACTGAATTGTGCGCGTGGGACGTGACACATAATATTTACACTACATGTTAGCGCATAGTGCAAAATAGCCTCCTTTAGCTACATAAGGTCATGGTACATGACAATAGGTGACAAAAATGCACCTGTGGAGCATACTATATGGTTGTGGTTCACTTTTGTCGCCATATGCAATCATCCAGCAAATTTTACTAAAAAAATAAACAAACAAATAAATTGATTTATTCATCAAACCAGAAGCTTTTATCAAACACAGAGTGTCTCATGTTCCATTAATGTTAAGAGATGAAAGAGAAAAAAAGAACTGTTTTAGACCAAAACAGAAACTCCCAAAAATGAAGGTTATTTTATGAATCAAGGCTTTTTCTATTTACAGATTCTTTTCTACATAACTCTGAAAAGCATCTTAAAAAGAAATCTCAAACCACAAAAAAACCCACAAATGTACTTTAAAATAGATAAATGTGTGGCCTTGTTGCTAAAAGTTTTGAACCTCTCTTCTAGAACCAACCTCTGCTGTAAACACAGCTGCATGTCTACATACCTAAAATTGTATCTGGACCTCTTTTTTTTGGCAGACTAGCAATATATGCTTTTTGTTGCTGCTTTTGGTTTACATGTAAAACACAATGGAAGCACAAATGTTCAGCTTTTCCATTCCTTTAAATTTTATAAACCTTTTTTTTATTTCGTCCACTTTATCATAAGAGCCGATACTGTTCTGTTCCCATATTGAAGTCTGTGATTCTATTGCAGGGTTCTACGGACCTTCTACAGTGTTGCTAACGGAGGCTAAAATGATAAACATGATAAAGAAATACCAGTTTTAGAAGCTTTAGCAGTTGTTTTCAGTAAATAAATGCATTTTAAACATCCACTGCACTTTAATTTAGATAGCTTCTGTCCAAACTTTATTTATTCATCTTATAGTAAAACCCATCTGTATATATGCTATTGTACATAACTGTAAAAACATGTTTTATAGTAATATTCACCTGTATATTATATTCAGTACATATCCAGCTGTAAATTAAGTTCATAAGACTAGTGATCTATATATTATATTCGTTGTTTATAATGGTATTCATCTCTATACTTATTCAGTAGAAACCCATGTCCTGTATTTATGGAATCATTATTTATCCTGTACTTGCTGCTATTGCACTTCTGGTTAGACCTAAACTGCATTTCGTTGCCTTGTACCTGTACCTGTGTAATGACAATAAAGTTGATTCTAATCCGATCTAATCATTTCCACAGCAGAAGGACAGCAGAAGAACCAGTGATGTTTTAGATTGATTTTTCTAGTTCTTAGCTTAGGAACTATGTGCTTTTATCGATAATGTTCCACAAATTTAACACCCAATAGAAGATAATCCATGCTTTCTCACCTAAAAAGTAAATGTTAGTTTGTTAAAAAAGGCAACAAATGCTTTTAGCTGCATCCAGGACAAAGTGGCTCCTTGGATTTTAAAGGTTCTAATGTATCAAAAGATCAAAAGTTTTTTTAGCTGTATGAATATTTTTGCACGGACCCATTTCCTTGATGTGCTGACATTTTATTTCTGTGGCTTCATGAGCGTTTTTTTTTTTTGTTTTTTTTTCCACCGCAGTTCAAGGAAGACAAATCAGCAAGAAACCATCTCTGAAATGAAAACATTACATTGCAGAAGTGCTTACTCGGCCCAATAATGACCAGGGTCAGCAAATTCGTACAAGCAATGTGTCCCAGATTACAGCTTCTGGTTTAGACTTTGAGCTTCACAGAACAACAAAGCAAGAATGAACTGAAATCAAATGTGACGGACAGTCGGGATGAAATATGAGACGTCTGATACTGGAGATTTTTCTGGCTAGAGTTTGGGAATTATATGAAATACAAAACAACACTTTTAACACAGTTAAGGTTTTATGAACACCAATACCTACTCCCCTCCTGGTGCACAATAACGGCAGCAAGGTGGGAAAAAATGCTCATTATTCATTTTACTTACTGGATAAATAATAATATGTAAACAAAAAATGACCGACAATATAGAAGCTGATACATCATGCATATATGCAACTTGCTCACTTTTTATTCTGGTTTGATGATGTCTTTGAAAATGATTTTTTGGAACATCGTCACTACCCGATCCTTCCCATCAGCTCAATTGCGCATGTGCAACCAGATGTACATCCATGTTTCCCAAAATAATGTAGTTATGGTACTAAAATTACTTATTTATAACATTCATTCAGTAAAGAATGCTAATACACATCTTTGAAAAATGGTTAATGATTTCTTTTGAGACAATTTGATGCTTTTTACAATTTCTCTGTTAAACTGCTTGTCTGACGTCATCGTCTGACATGCTCAGAGAGGTCCGCCAAAATATGATTCAACCATGTTTATCTGCATTTTAGTTGTTTCTTTCTTTAGTTACGCACTATATACCATAAGTTTAACACAAAAGGAAAACATAAAACTCAAAAAGACTAGATTTATGATTAAATCCAAAAATTTAGCTCCCGGAAGTAGCATAGATCCCATTTCCGGTGCATAAAAGTGGCTCCTTTGATTTAAGGTGATAAAATAGAAAGGATTTTAAGGCAGTTATTTTCTCAGCAAATACATTATTAACCTTAAACACATTATATTTTATTGCGCTTTCTATTTTCAGGGAGGAAAAAACGTAATTTAAGTCTTTTTTTACAAAATAAAATCGGGGGCGACCCGGATGTATATCTGATTGCGAATACGCAAATGAGCAGATTGTATGGATCATCACTCTGGGACGTATCTGATAGTGACAAGTATTTACAAGTGCTGTGCTCTAAAAGACAGAAAAAGAGATGGTGGTGGTCAACAGCCCCTAGTGGTCTGGAGCAGCTTTTTGCCTGTTAGCATGGTCTATGTATGTGTTAGCTTGGCCGGCCAGACTGAGCTACAGAGGGCGCAAGTCAGGCTGCTAAGGCTCAACACTCTCCAGACTAAAACTGATTGGACCAATCACAGCATAGGAGAAGGGGCCCATAATACAACAACGCTCTTCTTTAGGCTTAACAGTCAAGATTGTAGCTCAAACAGAGGGATGCTTTAATGAGGCCCTTTATTATGCCCAGATAATGCCCATTTACATAGTTACATTTTAACAACTGGGTGCTGTAAGAGCTTTTTTTATTTTTAAAAGACTTTATCTGATTGACTCTAAACTGTTTCTACTGACTCTGTTAGTTCCGCCTCTGAAATCAGGCTCTACCAGCTTCTTTCCCGACTGATATGTGGAGTAAACTGCCATGGTCAGTCTAGCTCACCAGGCCCAGTTATTTGCAGCGCGTTTGCACTTTGCATCTCTCGTTTTCTGTACTGGCAAAATTTCTCCTTTGCAGTATTTTTCCTTTATATTCCTTTGTTTGTTTTCCTTTTAAATTTTGCGTCATGTTCATGTCTTTCCGGCGCCTTTGTGCTTTGCGACCTGACAGATCAATAATAATTATTTTAGCTCATTCTGATTTATTTTTGATAAATATTTAAGCAAGAATTATTTAGAACATCCAGTTCTTCTGTTGTCTATTTGAAATGCATTCATTTCTGTGTTTTGAGTAGAAAAAAAAAAGCAATCGATGTTAAACAAAGATTTTAATATTAGATTTTACCAAGAAAAAGGGATTTATTATAGAGCGAGCAGCTTAAACCTATTTCAGTGTTGCACCTTAACCCTGTCCGGGTGCTAAAAGCTCAAAGGAATAAAAAATCTTTGTTGTGACACTTTAAGACTTTAGTTTTTAAAGCTTAGCTGACTTCTTCCTTCAGTAACTACTTCCATGATGAAGGGTGTTATTGTGAGACTGACCTAAAAGGAACTGGGTCTTTTTTTTAATGAAAATGGGATCTGGTCACAGATCAAACGACCCCCCATATAACACCGAAAGCTCCAAATCTTACCTGGTTTTGGTTTGGGCTTGCGACCCGGTTTCCCTTTGATCCTTGGTGTGGTCTCCTCTGGCTTCGCTCCTGCCTCTTTGCTGCATTTGCGCACCCTCCTTCTGGAGGGCCCAGCCACCAGCAGCGCCGGGGAGGGCTCTGCGCCTGAACAAAAAACAACAAAAACAGAATTATTCCTTCTGATTTCAACAATTCAAAGTGAGCACTTCTTGCAGTATGTACAGTTAAACTAAGAAATAAAAAGCACCCCTGGATAAAAACAGCATGATGTTGCGTTTCAATCTGCACCGTTCAGCCCCGTGACTGAGTCGATATGTTTTCAAAATTTTATGTAGAGCTTGTTCTCCCATGAAAACATGTTGGAAACACTTTGATTTTAAGATTTAAGAGTAATTCAGCCTCTGATGGGAGGAAACCAACAACTTAGATGTAAAAAAAGAAAAATGTCCTCAGTAGATATTAACAGCCTCTAAACCTCATCATTTCTTCAGGGTGTAGCTGCTAGGAAAATGTGTGCAGACCCCAGCAGCAGGATCAATGCTGCCTTTGAATATCTGGGTAGTGAGCACAATCTAAAATCCGAGATCAACATCAGAGTGTGGAAACTCAGTGAGAGGCGAGTTAGTTTGCGTTTTAGGAGCATATTTGTGTTTTCTGCCGATTACTGAGTGTTTTGCTCACAGTGGATCTTGTAATCCGGTGGCAGCAGCCTGATGTGGGACAGAGGGATGCGTCCGGTGTCACCGTCGTCAAACTCCACCGTGATCAGATCGTCGTTCTCGTCGATATCTGCGCTTCCTGTTTGAGAGAACATGAAAATTCCAAATTTTTAACATTCTGGCGCATCATTGATGGTTGATTTCAGCTCCATGAACCGTCTGTTGGAAATACAGGCTGTGTGTGCTTTACTGTCGCACCGTTAACGACAGTTCCTGGGTAAAGGCAGCGGTACTGCTGACTCCAGTAGGCGGCAATCCGGGTGCCCTCAGGGAGATAACGCACCGATGGAGGCTTCACATCGATTATCTGTAAACAGAAAATCAATTATTCTCAAACACTCTCTTATTTTCTAGACAGACGTGTGTAAAGGAGTAGCAGGTAACTTACAGCCTCCTGGAGCAGTTGTTCCAAGCAGTAGATGTGCGGCCGGTTGCCTCTCTCCCCCTCCACCACCACGCTGTATCTGAAGGGAGAAAATGTAGGAAAAAATAAGGGAGGTTCAGAAAGCTTAGGGTCAGTGTGTCAGAACCTCAGCTCACTCTGAGATGATGCCTTTTGGCAAAGAGATCCAAGTTCTTATCTCAGTTCTGACGGTTCTAATGGATACCAGGCAGCAAAGGGTGTTTTTTTTATATATATATTTAAATTGGGCTATAAATACATCTGGTCTGGAGGAAGCATCAGACGGACAGCAGCTGACAAGTTTAGCCAAATAAGCTAGAGGGAGAAAAATGTGGAAAATTTTTCTGATTTGATTTTTTAAATATTCCTTCTTTTTTTTATTAAGCAGAAGCAAAAACATTATGAAAAAAATTTTTTTTAAATTTATTGTAGTTTAATCTGATACATTAATAAAGGTTGTATGTAATTTTAAAAATGAAGGAAATCTGAAAAGTGCGGCTGGCATTTGTATTAAGCACCCATTTACTCTCATACCTCTTAACCACATGTCAAACTCAAGGCCTGCAGCCATAAAGTAAAGACATATGTTCCTTTAAAATGTATAAGGTGATTAAAAATGTAAAAAAATAAATGGGAACAAAGCATAAAACCAAAGCGGTGTGCGTTTGTAACTTCATGAAATCCAGTTCAATTTATACAGCTCAAAATGGAGCTTTTAAAGACTTGATGATGCAAATGATCTTTTAGTCATTTTCAGTTGGCCTCAGCAGATGGCCGTTCACACTGAGCCTGGTTCTGCTGGAGGTTTCTTCCTGTTAAAAGGGAGTTTTTCCTCTCCACTGTCGCTACAAGCATGTTTGGTGTGAGGGATTGCCTTCAAGTCAATGAGTCGATGCAATCAGCTGGTTTTCCTTACATAGAAAACTTTGAATCAATTTAACTGTATGATCTGGTTGACTTGTTTCTGTTAAGTGCCTTTAGATGACATGAGCTTTGAAAATTTGCTACACAAATAAACTAAATTTAATTGATAAAGCTTATAGTTAGAGCAGCTCAGGTTATCCTGAGATATCTCTTCAGTTATGCTGCTATAAGCTTAGATTGCTGGAGGACATAGGGACCCCTTGTCATCATTCCACTTCATTCTGTCTCTATTCTTCCATTCTGCAGAATTTGTTAGTTCAAGCCTTAACTTTAAGTCCTCTCTGCCTTTTCTTGATATAGTTGATTTGTCCGTCACTTTATCCACACCTTAACCCAAAAAGTTTGATTAATATACATGCAGTTAGTGATTGGCACCAGAGAAAAGGGAGAGAAAATTCAAAATGTGGGCCAAGCAACATTTTTTTTTAGCTTATTGGTGTATTCGTAGCCCTCTGTGTTAGAGAAGGCAGCTGGTGTATACTCACATGTCCGGGGAATGCACCGTGTTCACATGTCCAGCATAGAGAAGCTGGTCGTCCATCGGGATCAAAACTCTGAGCCCATCCACCAGAGAGTCCTTATCCAACACACACTGCACTGGAGCTGAACGCACAACACATTCCACACATTATTACACCGTCATCCAAGTTCAGAAGACGATTGTTGTGTGTTTCTAGAGATGCTGACCAGGTGTGGAGGACCGTTCCGACACGCTGCTGTTTCGCAGCGGGAGAAGCTCGTCTTCACTGAAGCTGCTGTCCTGGTTTGGCTCGAAGTCTTCGTCCGCCGCCATGCTCTCCATCAGCCGGCTCACAGCGCCCCTGGACGGCTACAAGAAAACCCAGAGATTAGTTAGCACTTGGAAAAATTGGTATAATAAAGGGATTTCCTATTCCATTTTTCAGATGCGTTTTTAAATGAACAGCAATCCGTCCTACAGACCTCTCTTACTTTGCTTTTGCCTTTGGATTGGCTCTTGTGGGCGGGGCTCAGAGGGGGCGCCCCATCAGAGACCGGACTACACAGAGTGGAGGGGCCGACCGGCGCAGGGGTCTCCTTCTGCTTCTTTTTCTGTGTTCCAAGGGAGAAAACAAAAGAAACTGAGGCCTGAAGATGCATAAAATACAGCAGTTTTACTGGTGGCACTGAAACACGCAGGCAGAAGAATTTCTGAAGAGGAAAAAAAAGGATGCAGAGATGGAAGCTGGAGAGAAGGAGCATGAGGAAAAGAGGAGGGAAGACATGCATCCTGTCAGAGATAAATCACTGACGTACTTTTATCACATCTTTTCCCTCTCTGGCTGCTGGAGTGGGTTTTGGTTTGGAGGAAGGCTTCGGGGTGAGAGGTGGGGCTGAGACGGAGGATGAGGAGCTCTGACTGGTAGAGGAGGAGGTGGACACAGACATCTGATTGGAAGTGGTGGCGGTGGCGTCGTGGAGGAAGATCCGCTCACTGCGTCGCCGGTTCCAGCCCTCGTCCTCGCTGAAGCCCCCCACACCGGTGGACAGGTCGAAGCTGAATCTCCGCGGAGATCGAGGCGAAGGCCGGGTTTTGGTTAGAGGCTTCCGCTTAACCGGCATCGTTTCATCGTGCTTGGCGGGGCTGGGCTGATCACTTCTGCGGGTGGCGGGAGGCAAATGGGGGAGCTCAGGGGCCGAGCGCCTCCCATGCAGCAGGGAAGGGAACTTCCTCTGCCTCAGATCCGAGCCAGAGTCGGACCAGTCACACTCGGGTGAACCTGAGAGAGGAGAGATGGTGATCAAATAATGCAGAAGAGCTTTATGATGAACCCTAATAGTGCAGGACAGAAAGTGTAACTGAACATGAATGCAATGCTTGGCCAAATATTCACAGCATTTCCAAATTCATGTCACATCCACAGACTTTAATGCTTATCAGGTTTTAATTTGACCAAAAAATGTTATTGTTTTTAAAATATTTCAATAACAAAAAAATTGAAAAGTGTGGAGTGTCTTTGCAGCCTTCCAAAGTACATGCTCTGTAAAAAATTACTAGAATTACATAAACAGACTAAAAGCAAATGTCAAGTGATTCAAATTTTATCAAAGACTCTTGAAAGCTTTTTTTTTTTTCACATAAGGATTTGACTTTGGCCAGACCATTATGTTTTTAACTAGACATCTTCATTGCAGCTCTGGCTCCATGTTTTTGGATGTCTTCTGCTGTGTCTGACAGGCTTTCTGCAGAAAGCCACCATTCAAATCCTTATTCAGGCTGACAAAAGCCATTCCTACAGCATGATACCGGCACCACCATGCACTATAATGAGCTTCCTAGATCTTTAAATCTGACATTTTGAAGATTAAATTTTTTTTTATGAAAAAAAAAAAACTTGCAGAATCATGGTAGAAGAATCTAAAAAATTACTGTACACCTCAATTTTAGGCTTTTATTTCTTTAAATTTCAATGATACTTCAGTTTTCCTTTCTCTTTATTGATCCATCTCCTAAAATTCCAGTGAAATACAAAAAGTTTGTAACTTTGACCAAAGGGAATTTCTAGAATTTCCTGTTTTTGTTTTCAAAGACGTCAGAAAGACGTCAGAGTCAAATGATGGACAGGTTTGTGTCTGTTTGTGTTTACCCAGAGCGCTCTGTCGGCTGCTGCTGTGTTTGCCGTCATGGAGCAAACTCAGAGGTGGTGGGCTGACAGGGAGGGCGCTGGCCGCAAACCTGGCCAGCAGACCCAACCCGCTCTCCTCCTCGTCATCGTCGTCATCATCACCATCTGAACCGGACTCATCCTCTTCTTCATCCTCAGAGGTCTCTGTGTGGGAGAGAAAACTGTGAGCACGGGAGCAGAGACAAGCTGCAGGTATGGGATTCATCTCTCAATTTATATCGCTTCTAACAACATAATAAAATAAGAAATTTTTACTGAATGGGATCTCAAGAAAAAAAAAAAGCTTCTATGCAGTCAAACACAGACACACTCCTGGAGGTGAGGGTTATTAAATAAATAACGGTGGAGCGAGAAGATACAAGGTCCAAAACCACTGCAGCGTCCCTTCACACCGTAAAGCTGCACAGAAATGCAGAGCAGCGGACCTCCAAGAATTACAACGACCATGCATGAGATGCAAGCAACACCAGACTGGGGTGAGTCAAAACCCTGGCCTCAGACGTTTAGTATTAATGGCACAGAAAAAAGATGAAGGAAAGAAAACTAAAATGCTCGGTTTAAATCTGAACAAACCAGCAGAGTTTACAGAGAGGTAGAGACAAACACACACCGTGGTGAACTGCTGGGGAAGCTGTGTGACGCTGGAAGTTACCAGGAAGGTCCAGAGCAGCAGATGAGGATGAGGATCTCCTCCTCAGGGGTTAGGGTGTTAACAGTGAGGCTGGATTCACAGTACAGGAGGACTTAATGCTGAAACTGCCATTTTCTGACTAAGAAATATATATTTTTTCCTTCTGCTCGAAATCCCTTTTGTACATATTGCCACCTTACAACCAGAAACTTTAATCTTATTGGAATTTACTCTGATATGCCTGAATTAAAAAAAGAACAAGCAAACTCCTTCAGATCTCTAATTATCAAGATATAAAAGAGACACAGAAGGCTGAGCAAGAGAAGTCAAAAACAGGGAGATCCATAACTACAATGAAAAAGAATAAAAATAAAAACGGTTGTTATGAGTAAAAATGTGTGGTTATTATCAAGGAGAGGAAAAAAGAAAAAAAAGACAGTAAAGCATGGCAGTGATAGCATCATGCTAAGGAAACGCCTTTATTCAAATGGGACAAGGAATCTGTTAGAAGAGAAAAAAAGATTCAAACTGGGGGAGGAAGCTTTTCTTTCAGCAGCACAACCATCAGTGGGATGGTTAAATTTAAAGGATAACCTCGTCTTAAAACGGACCAAAGTCCAGGATTAGGTCTAAGGGTAAATATTGTTTAACATTCCAATTTAAAGAAGCTTCCTATCCAATCTGATCAAACTTATTGCTGTTTGTAAAAGAAATATGACTAAAAATATCTGAAGATGTTCAAAGCTGGTAGACTTAAACCTGCATAAAAATTTGTTCTGCAGCTGCAAAAAATGTAACTTTCTGCAAAATATCAATTCACTGAATGGAAGTATCCTTAAAGAGTTTAATATTACTGATTTATCCAATTGTGCTCCACTATTCCCCCATCATGACGCTTCCCCCACCATGCTATACAGTAACAATGTGACAAGGGTGAAGAGCGGTGTCAGTTTTCTTCCACTCTGTGTTCAAGAGTGGAATTTTAAGGAGCTTTTGGTATCTACATCTTAATTTAAATTAAATCAAACTGATGTTTATGGTTTTAATGTGACAAAATGTCAAAAAAGTTGGAGAGAGTAACTCAATTCTCACGCTGTACTGTGAATCCATGTGTTAACAGCAGCAGACAGGTGTTTAAAACAAGCAGGCACTGAGAGGACAGCCCTGTGAGGCCCCTTTGGCAACAATATGCTTTATGATTCGAGCCACCATGGTTACGTCCTCCGTTCCCGTCCAACAGGAAACGCCCTCCTTTAAACTTTTTCGGCCGTCGGAAGCAGGATGGTGGGGGTAACCATGGCTAGCTTTGAAGAGCTCCAAATTCGTGAGAAAATATACAAAAAAAAGATAAAAGTTAATGTTCTGTAAATGTAGTTTAATTTCTGCACGTTTCATGTTAGTGTTCAGTGATTATAAAAAAAAAAATTGAGGGAGGGGCACTTCCTACTTACAGAGCAGGTGACAGGGGTGTGGCCTCAGGCAGGGCGGGGCAGCGCAGCGACGGAGCGCAGCCTAGCCTTAGCGCAGACTAGCTTTAAAAGCAGAGCCTTAGCCACAGCGTGGGGGAGGGGGGGTCGCTGTAGCGAGGAAGTGTAGGCTCAAGGCTGCGCTAGTCCAGACCAAGCTTCTGTAAAGTCGCAGCAGCACAAGCACATTGAACAGGCTGAGAGACACTCAAAGCATTATGGGAAGGGAAATAAAGTGGGGGGAGGAGGGGGGATGAAAGGACAGAGCGAGGTTTCTGAGAGAGAGCAGGGAGAAGGGTTATTTGAAGGTTTAGTAGACACACAAGAGGAGCTCATTGTTGTCCAAATATCCCTTTAATCTCAACGCTGTCACAACATGTAGCATAAAATAACACTGACCTGTCCAAATAAGCGCTACGCTAACCCTACGCTCACCTAGCTAACGCCTTCTCCACTTCCCCAGGAGAAAAAGTGGGATATTTGACAAGCAGAGCCTTTTTAAAGGATGTGTGAGGAGCAGTGGCAGCTGGACAGACAGACTGACGGAAACAGACACAACAAGATGAAGCAGACACAAGGACCACAGCAGTTTGCAATCTGTACCAATCAGATCAACACCTTTAATAGAGCTTAGAAATACCAAACTGCGATACAGCTTTGTGGAAAAAGATCTCACATTTCACATTTGTACAAATGCTACAAAAACAAAGAAAAAAAAACAAACAACTTTGCAATCCAGGCAATAAAAAATCTCCATAGAAATAGGTAAACTCTGGAAAAACAAAACAAAAACCAAAATAACAGAAAATCAAAAGCAGCGACTTTGCAGAAAAAAGCCAGCAGCAAAAAGAGGTAGGGATGATGAAGCTAACGCACAGTCTGACAGGGGCGACCCTAGCCTCACAGACACAGAACTGCCTGATTTGGCAGGAAAAGGCTCAGTAACCTTGATCAAAGGAGTCGTCAGAGGAGCTGAGGCCCGCCTCCTCCAGCAGCAGCGATAAGTGCTTGTGCTTCTTCCTGGAAGGTTTCTGACTGGGCAGCAGGGAGGTAGGCGACGACGCAGAGCGCCTCTTCCTGGTAGAACCGTCGCGGGGATGCGTCTTTGAGTGAGGAGGCCAGCCTCCTCCGGAAGAAACGTGTTCCTCTGAATCTGTATCTGGTGCAGAGAGAGAGCAGTTGATGATGGGTGAGGACAAGAAGTCTCACATAGAGGCTTGTCTGCCTGAATTGGATTCAGGACTTTAATTGACTGGACTAATAAAAGCTCAGGAAGCAGACTTGATCAGGTAGTTTAGGAAACTGAAGAGGTTTTCTCTCTGGGTACTCACTGTTCGAGCAACTGCTGAGCTCAGATCTCATGGGCGAGAACACGGCCTTCTTCTGACCTTTAACCTTCCGGATCGTCTCTGCAGCTGAAGCTTTGGTCCCCAGCTTGAGCTTCGCGCCTTTGACTGAGGAGTGAACGCCTCGCTCCTTCAGCCCGCTTTCACACGGTCTGCCCTTCGACTTCTCCAACCTGGAGGCCAGTTTGCGAGAGGCGCCGAGGGAGCCGAGCTGGGAGAGCGAGAGCGCCCTGTCCAGGTCCGAAGCCAGCTGCTCCTGCTCACACACGTGGCCGCGCTTCGCCTTCAGAGCCTACAAACACCAGCGGGTGAATCACTAACGAGGACACGAGGCAATTGGAAAGTCCACGAACAGGCTGCCTACCTCTAGAGCGTGAGTGCTGGACGGCTCCTGGTCGCTCCAGCTCTTCTTCTTCTTTTTCTTCTTCTTCTTCACCCCTCCAGTTCCGGTTTCCGTGTCCTCTTCATCTCTGGACAAACAGAACCTTTTCCTCTGTCCTTCTCCGGCTTCAGAGTCCTCCGAGTATTGCACTGTCCGACCCAGCCTGACAGGAGGACATGTTTGTAATTTAATGTATGGATAAAAAAATAAATAAATAAACAGATATGAAACTTCCAATATGAAAGCAGGCACTCACTTTCCAGGCCTGCCGTCCAGTTTGGTAGGTGTAGGCAAATGTTTCCTCTTCCTTGGTCTCCCTCTGCCCCGTCTGGTCAGACTCCGCCTCTCGTCCTCCTGCTGCCTCTCTCTGACAAAGAATCAGATGTGAGTTACAGTGCAGATAAGATTGGTTTCTTCCTCACGGCGTCATGCGGGAGCGCCAACCTCTTGTCCCTGCGCCGCTGCAGCTTGCTCAGCTCCCTCTGCTTCTCCTTATACGTCTTCTGCAGCTCGGCCAGGCGAACGCGATACTCCACCTCCACGGCGTCCAACATGTCCACAGACATTTTACTGTACAGCTGCAGCAAAACACAAACATGAGCGTCCCGCCGGCCCGGGTTTCATGAACCGATGGTGGTTCCCTCCCGTTTCTTCTTCTTACCGGCTCCTCCTTCCTGTGCCTCCAGCTGTACTTCTTGTCGGGGTCCAGAGTTCTCGGCAGATCGATGTGGGACTGCTTCTCGATAGCCTCCAGTAAAATCTGTCTGCTTGCTTCAAGGAGACAGTCCAGACCGTCTAATGTCAGATCTGAAAGGAGAAACGGCAAAGAAGATCAGAGGAGTAGTGAAGGAAAACAAAGAGAAAGTAGAGATGCACTGATCAGGCTTTTCCTGGAAGATTGAGATTTCTGATTTATTTTTTCCTCCTTTTAAGTCTGACCTGCTGATCCACATTTTCTTTTCTTTTTAATACAAACAATGTGCTGCAAGTACTTTGATACAGGTAGCAGTTATGGATATGATTATTGATAATTATTAAATCTTTTATTTTCAAACTTTTTTTTTCTTTAAATAAAAGGGGGTAGGTTTAAAAAAACATAAAAATGTTCCTATTCAATCATATGAATCCGTTTATATATTTACAGTCCCTTAAGCATGAAAACCAGACTTTACTAAACCTTAAAGGGCGAACCTCGTCAAAGTGAGTGTTCCCAAAGAAAGATGGGAAAAAAACAAACATTCAGCATATATAAATCCAGGTTTTTGTTGAAATAATAATGCATTTTATTCAAAAGCACTTTTCAAAACCACTCAAGGACACTATGAAATAATTTAAAAGACAAAAGAACAGCCATCGATTTATTAAAGGATATTTTAATCAAACATGGCTGAATAAAGTCTGTTGCTGAGGATGCACTAGCAATTATTCACACAAAATTTAAAACAAAAAATCTTTGAAGGGTTTCAGCTATTGATTTTTCTATTATTTAAGTAATCCAGTGTTTTGTGTGTTTTTTTTTTTTTTGTATTTAAATACCTATTCATTTAAAAAGAGAGTCTCTAAGGATAAAGAAATATCTCAATAAACAGGTGTTTGAATTGTTCCTAAATGCATTTCCAGCGACCTTCCCCGTTTTGGACCACCTGTCCCCAGAAATGTCCACGGTTTTACCGTTTTATGAACGAGAGGGAAAATTTAGCGTGTAGATTGTTCTTATGTAAAGATAGCGTGTGAGCATGTTGCGCTCAGAAACAGCTGTTACAGTAGCTTGTTGCACTGATGTAAAGATGAGGAACAAAGCGCAACACTTTTAAACAGAAATTAGCCGTCACAACCGGCTGCAGTGGATGGGGAGCAGCAGTGTTTTAATCGATCTACTTAATTAAGATTCGGCTGATGCTTGTGAATAATGTTTGGTTTGTGCCCAGCTTAAACAAATATGGCTTCGATGTGTTTTGTTTTCCAAAAGATGATTACCCAAAATGAATTTAAGTTAATAAAAAAAAAAAAAAGTAAGACAAGACCACATGAAAACTCCTGTGAGGCGTAGGGGTGAGTATTGGCATAGGTGTTGCTATACGACACGTGTCAAGATACTTGGGTCAGTAGGGCTGGGTAAAAAAATCGATTCCTTTATATTTTTGCAAAATCGATGTCTAGGAAATGAGATCAATTAGTACATGACGTTCACATTCAAATGAGCAGGAAAGATGCACTCAAGATTACTTCAATCCAGACAGCTGCTAATATAGCCAATAGGTTGACTGAAGACATTAACAAATGGGGGCTGACCAGCAAACACCCTGTAGTTGTTACAGAAAACGCTGCAAATATGGTTTATGCAGTGAAGATAATGCAGCTCATGCATGTCAGAGTGAGTGAGGCTTCACTTTTTCACTTTTCACAAACAAGTTTGCACTTATGAGACAGTTTTGTTCACATCTCAAGTTTAAATTATCTGATTCACAAGTTTGCACTTTGTGTTTAATATGACAGGAAAAAAAATAAATTACATGATTATTTTGAAACGCAGAAACCACTTTCATCATTGTAAAAACAGATGGAATTGAAATTAATCAATTTAGAACTTTATTAATCAAAACCGAATCGATTCAGGACAAATTCCCTATATATTGCGATATATTTCCCAGCTATCAAATTAAATGTATAGATAAAAAAAGCAAGTGCTGTATATTTATATATGTGTTCATTAAAAGATCATTTAATTATTTTTGTATCAGTTTTGTTTCTGGTTTGAGTCAGGCCACGTCTTCCTCTGTGACAGCCTCAACTAGATATAGTGATGAGCTATACAGCATAAGGGCTCCACGGCGCTACTGTCAGAGTGGCGGTGCAGAAGTAGCTCATTTTGCCTCATCGTTTTAGATAAAATTGTTTTGTTTTTGTAAAATCCATATCAGTAACTGAAAGATCTATATTACATCAGGCAGTTGAAAATCACAACATATGACTCAGGGAGTCAATTATTATAAGTTTTATTATATTATAAGTTTTTCTGATTTATAGTTGTGATGTATGAGCATTGACTTACAGGCTTAGTTGTGCTTTTCTACCACTTAGTTTGAATATATGAAAGTTCCTAAGTTACATTTTTGACGTGTAATGTGCCAATCAGAGGCGATTGATGAATTTCTAGAGATCTGATTGGTGCGTCTCTAGTTTAAGTGTGATGATGGTGATCACTTGCCTTGCGCCTGGAAAATGAGGTCCTTCTCGTTTTTAGCCATCTGACTGAGGAGGGCCATCCCCTCAAGAGCCACCATCTCCAAGGCTGCTGGGCCGCTGCAGTCGGAGGTAAAGGGAGGATCAACCAGCTGGGATTCCAGAGTGGGGATAGGTGGCGTTCCAGGCCGGGCTCTGGCCATCTCGCTGGCTGTTAGAAGGGCGAGCATCCCCCCCATGGGGTCCTCTGCGCGGATAAGAGGGAGGGGAGAGCCGAGGATGGGGGGCTCACAGGAACTCTCCTCCAAACAGGGAGGGAAGGAATCAGATGGAGAGTCGGCCTGCTCCAGGTCACACACAGCCGTCTGCTCCGACGACGCGCACACCTGAGGCCTTTCCTGGTCGCCTGCATCATCAGAGATGGACGGGTGATACGGTGGCAGCTCTGCCTCTTTCAGGGGTTCTGGTTTAGGCTCGTCTGCTGCAGGTTCAGCAGGGAGGATCTTAACCGCCTGACAAGAGTTGGATGATAACTCTGTTTTTATCACGCTTTCCTTTTCCTCTTCCTCCCCCACTTCTGTCAGGCTCTCAGCCTGTGGAGATGGAGGACTGGAGGTTTCAGGGGCTTGTACGTCCACCTCGTTATCTTTGCTAGCCCGGTCAGCGCTGCGGCTCAGCTGGATGGAACCCAGAGGTTCTGGCGTCAGGTTGGGCTGAGGGAGCTGGAAAGACTCTGCCTTCGGTGGCTCCAGGTTATGGGGCTTGATTTCTGCATCCAAAAGCTGTTCATGGTGGTGAGTTGAAGTTAGCGGCGCGGCTGCGGAACAGGACCGATGTACGTCTGTGTTCTCAGTGGCCGATGGCGGGATGTTATAAGGGGGGAAGGAGCCATACGGCGCAGTGATGGATTGGTAAGGGTAACCTGGAGGCAGGTCTGCAGCAGAGGTAAAACAAAATGACATCATCTCCATCTTTAACTTGTAAACTGTTCATTTGTTGTGCTGTGGAATAAAATCAAGCTGAGTTTTTAAATACCTGACGGGAGCTGTATGACCCGGCAGTTCAGTGAACGCAACTCACCGGAGTAGATGCCCTGAAAGGGCGCGGCCGCCAACTTTTTCCTCTGCTCTCTGGCTCCCTCCTCCCCCTCCTCCTGTTTGGGCCGCCGCGGCGAGGAAGGCGGCGGGGAGGCAGAGGGTGGAGATGCCGGCAGGAGCTTCGGTGCGTGAGGAAGGACTCTGTGCCCTCCCTCCTCCGATTTCAGCGTGGCCACCGGAGAGGGCGTCGGAGGCAGCGGGGTGAGGGAGGACGTGGACGGGGTCGGAGATGGGGAGGGGCGGAGAGGTTTGCGAGGGTGCAGCACCGGTGAGGGCGACGGAGAAGATATGGAAGAGGCTCTGGTTTTTGGGTCGGCGCTCCGCTTGTCTACTTTGTCATCGATGTCGGACCGGTGCTCTCCGGCCTTCAGGCGCTCCTGAAACAGAGCAGAGGAGATGTTTCTGACCAATAGAAACATTTGTGTGGTTTCAAACTGTTTCAGATTAGATCTACTTACGACGATCTGAGCATTCCTCTGAAGCTCGAAGAACTGCGCTGTTTGCTGCTGGATCATGAACAGCTCCTGCTGCCGGAGGATCTGATGCTGAGAGAGGAGCTGCAGCTGGGCGGCGTGCTGCAGAGAGCTGCCTGTGCCGTACACACTGGACCACACCGGGGCTCCACGCTCCAGAACGTCGCCTCCTGCACCACAGGAAGGAGCAAGGCAGCAAACTTTAAACAAATAAATAAATAAATTGTACATGGCTAAACATCATGTGGAATGGAAACAAGTGTTTTTTTTTTTGGTTTTTTGATGTTTTGACATTTAATTGAGGATAAATTGACAAGTAGGAAAGGGGCAGGACATTATAAGATGTATCTTCTAACTGCTCCTTTTCGAACAGAAAATATAAAATTTACATGTCACATGGGCAAAATAATTTGTTTTATACTTTCATTCTTAAGTTTGTTTCATTCAAATTTTTTTTCTTTCTTGATTGTTTTTACTGTCTGTTCGAAATAAATAAAATAAATAAATAAATAAATAAATAAATAAATAAATAAAATATGCTGTGAGCTAAACAGGCGAAAGCTGAACAGAAGCAGAAACACTTGTTCAAGAGAAACTTTGAAACTTGTAGTGAGACATGCTGAGCGTTACTACAGGGTTCTGCAGACTTTAAAACAGCCAAGCATTCAGTTCTTCTAGGAGAAGCAGCTCAGGTTAACACACAGTTCTACAGAGAAATAGATTTGGTTCTTCTCTATAAGACATGAGGTATGATTCAATATAAAGACTGATGTTCTAATTTGACCCTGTTAAAGAGAGGACATGTTTCCTGCATTTTGGTGGAATAGATTAATCATCGAGTCTGGAAGGTATGGAGGTAGGAGGAAAGAAAAGTTCAGCTGAGCACCAATAAAATAAAAAATAAATAAAGAAGTGCCAGAGTCGCATTTAGGACCAATTAAAAAAAACAAGGTTATATAGTTCATCATAAGCTGAGGCTTTAAATAAAAACCTACAATCACATAAATAGATAAAAAAAAAAAGAGATAGATAGGCCAAAAGAAAGAAATTAGAATATAGGGGAAGGATAAAAGGAGATAAAAGGGTTTTCTCCTTTTTAAGACAAGAAACAAAGGGACGAACCATAGAAGAAGAAACTTTTAAGGCAATAGAGTATTAAATAAACCTAACATTGATTCATTCTATAATGAAATTAAGACTTCATCTTTTTATCTCTCAATAAAACCTTTGAGAAAAGGTGAAATATTTCACAAAGAATCAAATCTTTTAATATGTGACGTCAAAGCCCTTTATGAAAGACCTAAATAGTCACACATCTGAATGGTCCAAATAGCATAAATTAAACTAGGGCACTTAAAGACCAGAAAAAAGTGATAAATGTATCTTTCCTTGATTGGAGAAGTATGCATGACTTTCTGTCCCAGGAGGGAAAAACCTCATGTTTCAAATGCATCTCACTGATATCGGGTCCCAATTGAGGAGCCGTCATGAGGTGTGCAATCAGGCCTTCTACACGCAGAGAGACAGACAGCAGCTCCCGTACCGTAATGTGGCAGGTGTTCAGCAGGGATGACGATCAGCTGTCCAGACTGTGGGTCCCTGGCGAACTGGTAGGGAGGGGGGAGGGAGCCTGGCAGAGAGGGGGGATAGCCAGGGGGGAGTGACTGGTGGAGAGGGGAGGGACCCAGGCCTGGATGACAGAGGAGGATAAAAAAAAAAAACAAAAAGAAAAAACAGATGGTTAAAAACAAACAAAAACAGAACTGAATCTAAAGCATTTAGAGTATTTTCCCCTCCATCCAGATTTCAGCCACACTGAGCCACATCTTGTTGTTTTTAGACTCCACGTCTAGACAGAAGAACCCTGAGGGACTTCTGCACAAGCATGTGGCTCTCTGTTTAGCGTTATCAGATGGTGCTTACATAAGTTAGTGATTGTGTGTGCTGGTGCTGTTATTTCAGGATGGAGAGCATAGGAGAAGCAAGACTGGAATGTCCAGAAAAGACCAGGAATGTCTGAGGCAACTGACCCCCGAGAGGACAACGCCTCCCTTTTCTACAGGACCAATTACAGCAGGCCACATGTGCAGTGAAGAGCATGTTTGGAGGCACTATGACAGGCGCAAAGATGGAGAGGCTGTTTGAAAAGGTCAAAGGCCGATGATCTGAAATACAGATGATCTGAAATACAGATGATCTGAAATACAAAGTTATGTTGTACCAATACTAGCCTCTCTCCTGCCACTCTCGTTTCAAAAATATAGACCATAAAAAGTCATACTTCCATAAAAAAGTTATTGGTTTTTATGGTAAAATACAGTAACGGAAGGTGTAATAAAATTGTCGGTATGTTATATTGCTTAAAGCTATAAAGAAAAAGCAAAGGTCCTCAATTTTATTTATTTTAAAAACTCAACATTTTATCTAAACTCTTTTTCTATTTTCCTTACATCATTTTAGATATTCAAGTAGAAAAAAATTACTAAAACTTGACTTCACCAAAAAAATAAATTCCCATTGCTTAAAACAGCCTGTAGTTAGTAGTGTTTTACGATTATCCTATATAAGAGAGAACATTTAGCCTAGCGTTAGCATCGGTAGCTTTTTCTTTTCCAAACCCTCATTCATTAAATTTTATTTTGAGATTCTAAGTTTACAACAAGCTCCAATAAATGTGATGTTGATTTAAATCCAAAATGTAAGAAAAATAGCCTTGAATTGGTGTCTGACAATTAAATTAAAACCCAAAGTGATGATGAGTAAAATGTACAAATCAAAGTGGAATTTGATTAAAAAAATAATAATCTCTGCAGGAATCAATAAATTATTTCAAATTCTATGCTTTAGAATACTGACACAGAACAAAAAAAAAAAAAAAAAAAATCAACAACATTTAAGAGCAACAGTTTGCAAATGTCATCAGAGAAATTCCCGTTCACACACCGTATGGAGAGCCGGACAGCCAGACTGGGGGGGCTCCAGGCCGGGGCATCCAGGGGTGAGAGGTCAGGGTTGAGGGGTCAGGAGGCCACCGCCCTGCCCCTGCCAGAGCAGCTCCTCCTGTGACCATGAGGTTGGGGGTCATGAGGCTGGACGTCATCATGCTAGGTGTCAAGCCGCTTGACAGAGGGGCGGGGTGCATTGGCGAGAACTCAGGAAGATTCTTGGTCTCTCTGAAAGGAGATACAGTGTCAGATACTCGCTTTACAAGCAATAATAAAGCGCATGGAGTGTGCTGGTCGCATTTCTGCACAATATAACCAAAGACTACAAACTAGTGGGATTTTATGTGATAGCAGCAACAAAAAGAAAGCTTTCAAAACACAGATTGCTGTTACGTACATTTAACAAAAACGCAATGGGTAGCAAAAATAACCACAACGATCAGCTCCCTGAACGCACCATCACACAGTGGAACATGGTGCTGGCAGCATCATGCTGCAAAGGAGGATACAACTAAACCCAAAGACCGGCGTACACCTTTTAGCTAAATGTCCTAGTCAAAGTAAATCCAACATGAAAACTGTGGCAGAAGCTGAAAATTATTTATCAAGGATATGGTCCATAAAATCTGACTGATCTTGAGATGCTTTGAAGAGAAGAAAAGAGGAAAATGTCTAATCTTCGGGTGTTTGACCTTCAGAGAGGAGGTATATCTACAAGGCATTCTCAAAAAAGCAAAGTAAACCTTTTATTTCTTTGTAAAAAGTAAAAAAAATAAAATAATACTCTTTAGATTTGATAACTGCCCACAACTTTTAGTCTGTGTACCACATAAAATCCAAAAGAAATGCACTGAAGCTGGTGGAAGTAATAAAACTTAATGTCCATTAAAATAAATACAACATAAGTCATATCAGAGAAAATGTTAATAATTCAGTGGAAAAACAGCCCAGCAGTTTCACCTGATGACTTTCTCTTGCTCGCGCTCCAGCCGGCCAGCCAGCAGTCGCTCATCATGATGGCGAGCACGCTCCTCCCCTCGGTCCTCATCTGCAAACAGAACCTAATTTTTAGCTTTTATTTATTTTTAATTTTTTTAAACCCAATTCAAAATTACAATCTGCTTATGTGAACGAGGGAAAGGAGACAAATGAGCAAACGATCTGCAGTGGGAATAGAAAAAAAAAAAGCTTGTGTGTGACCCAGAGAGAGGTGGAGAGGATGAGGTAACACCAGTGGGATAATAGGGTGCGTGACACAGCCTGTCAAAACAAGATGAGAAGCTGAAAAAACGTCAGCCTGAACACAAACGGTGCATGCATACATACTGTTAAAAAAAACATAAAAAAAACCCTGAAACATGAGAAACAGAGTGACAGTTTCAGCTCCTCCAGTCAGCTCCCATCAGTTCATACTGTAGAGAAGTGTGAACATGCCACCGCCGCCTCATTACTGCATTAATACACAGAGAGGCCCAGAATCCCACTGATTGTCAGGGCCAATGGTTGGAGAGAAGAAAAAAACCTGACAGCCGTGCTCAACCATGCTGTGCAAAATAAACATGAGGCTCTCCAACCCACATCCCCCCATGAACCCTCCTCCACCTCATCAGTGCAGACTGAAGGTCCCCCGGCAGCAGAAGGGTTTAATACATGTGCTGCTGAACCCTTCAGGTCTGCTCTCTGTGTGTGACTGAAGCCTCCAAAGGGACAGGATACTTTAACAATGCCCTATATGCTCTGTAGGAAAGGCTTCTGTTACCAAGGCTACACAGAGTCCGGCCCACATGCTAGCTGCTGGATCGCCGTCATGAGCAGTAAGCTGTTCTTCACTCCCTCTCCTGATCCTGCCACGCTACAGATCCAGACTTAAGGCTCAAAATGAAAACTTTACGGCGAAGGAAGGAAGGAAGGAAGGAAGGAAGGAAGGAAGGAAGGAAGGAAGGAAGGAAGGAAGGAAGGAA